TTGTGTATACCCTTTGGCAACTAACCTTGCTTTGGTTTATCAATTGATCCATCAGCCTTACGTTTGTACTTGAGAACCCACTTGCTCCCAATTGCCTTTCGGCCAGGTGGTAGATCAACTAATTCCCATACTTGGTTGGATTCCATGGAATCCATTTCCTCTTGTAAGGCCTTCTGCCATTTTTCCTTAGCAGGTCCTGTTAGTGCTTCTTTAACACTTACGGGGTCTCCTTCATCGTTTTCTGGACTAACGATGAAGGTTGTTCCTTCAATTGAGAAGCGTCTCTTAGGAGTTTTGTCTCTGTTACTTCTCCTAAGTGGGGTTGTTGTAGGACTTACTTCCTGTGACTGGTTAAACCTTGTTGTGAAAATAGTTCAACCCTCCCACTCGGATCAGTAGACTGAGGAACACTTTGTTGTACCTCATTGCCATCATCCTCATAAAGACGGCTTGTTCGATCAATACTCCCTCTGCTAGGATATTCGGTTTCTATGAATGTTGCATCCCTTGACTCTATCTCAGTCACTGAGCCGTCATCATTTTCACCAATGAAGACATACCCCTTAGAGTTCTCAGAGTATCTTATGAAGATACACTTTTTGCCCCTCGGTTCTAGCTTGTCATATTTATGGGAAGAATCACGAATATAGGCTGCTGACCCCCATGGTCTTAGGATGCTTAGATCCGGTTTGCGGTTTGTCCATGATTCATAAGGGGTTGTGGTGACTGATTTAGAAGGCACTTGGTTAAGTATGAATGTGGCAGTTAAAAGAGCATCTCCCCAATATGAGGTTGGAAGCTTAGCTTGTGCCATCATTGATCTAACCATATCCAGGAGAGTCCTGTTTCTCCTTTCAGCAACTCCGTTTTGTTGAGGAGTGCCAGGGATTGTTAGTTGCCTAACAATACCCCTTTCTTCACAGAGCTCCTTGAACTGATCAGATAGGTATTCTCGACCTCAGTTAGTTCTTAAAGCTTTGATTCTTGAAATTAGCTGATTTTTCACTAAATTGAGATATTTTCTAAAGCATTCTAATGCCTTAGATTTATGGGAAATTAGGTAAGTATAGCCATATCGGGAAGAATCATCGATGAAGGTAATAAAATACCATGCTCCGTGACGTGCCCTAACACTCATTGGTCCGCAAATATCAGAGTGTACCAATTCAAGAGGATGGTTAGCCCTGGTTGCCTTTCCGAAAGGCTTCCTTGTGCTCTTGCCGGCAAGGCAATGTTCACACAGAGACATTTCCTTTTTGGACACGTTTCCTAGCAAACCCTCTTTTGCCAGTTTGGTCAGGCGTTCTTGACCAATATGTCCTAATCTAGCGTGCCATATATCGTAATTGACATCGGAAGAAAGTGCATAGCAAGAACTAGAAAAATTATCATTGAAATTTTCTAAAACAAAGAAACCATCCAAAACATAACCAGAAACTGAAAAGTTGGTCCCATACAAAATGTCTACTGTGAAATCATGAAAAAAGACATTGAAATGAAATTTAACTAAGGAAATAATAGACACAAGATTTCGTTGGATTTCCGGAGCGTAGAGAACATTTTGAAGGACTAGGGTCTTTCCTCCATGCAGGGTCAGCTCACAAGTACTGATCCCTTTGACTTCTACTCTCGTGTTGTTCCCAACATAAAGCCATCTGCTTCTTGCTGGTAACCGACGAAATTTTGTGAAGTTCCCACGATCCTTGCAATAAACGTAGTGCTAGAAACATAAGAGAAATGTATTGAATCTGAATCTAATACCTTTTTCTACTTAGGGCAGTCCTTGGCATAATGCCCCTTTTGTTGGCAAGCATAGCATTTTATGGTTGCTGTGTTCCGCTTCTTTGCAGGTTTCTTGCCTTTCTTGAAGGAACTCTTTCCCTTCTTTACTTTAGGGCCGCCTTTCTTATTTTGAGAGCCTTTACTTCTCTTGGACTGGTTTTGGGAGGCTGCTCCTCCCTTTCCTTCAGTTAAATATGCTTTACTGATAGGTTTCACAGTTTCTATTCGATCATCCTCTAGCTGGAGGTGGCGAGCTACATCAGCAAAGGTTTTTATACTCTCGTTATGAGTAATTGTGTGCTTCATGGTATCCCAACTTGCTGGGAGAGATCTCATGACAGCTTGAATCTGTTGCTTATCAGATAAGGCGCCTCCGGCTTCCTTAAGCTCCCTGACTAAGTTCTGCATTGCCCTTAGGTGATGCCTTATGGGAGTGTTAGGACCCAGCTTGAAATTATCAAGTTTGACGGTGAGTCTCCTAAGCCTCGCAGCAGAGGTACCGTCAAATTTGGATTTCAGCGCTGCCCACATGGCAGAGGCGGAAGGGTGTGTTTCGAATTGCACCAACACATCGTCAGTCATGGCACTTAGCATAGTAATTCTGGCGATAGTGTCCCTTCTTTTCCAGGCCGCGTAGCCGTCCTGGTCCCTTCGCGATGCATTCGCCTCAGGCTCTGGAAGAAAAGTAGTCAACACATCAGTGACTTCTTGTTCTTCGAGGACATATGATATCTTACGACGCCACATGCTGTAATTGTCTCCGTTCAGCTTGTCACCTCCTACGAGGTCAGCTATAATGGACTTGATTCCTCTTTGAGACATCGTGCTATTATATAGACAACAATGCATTTTAGTACGGTATGCAACATACACATTATTCAAGTAGGTCATAGGTCGTCCGGGTAAGAGTCTCACCATTTTCATGATCAGGAGACAACTAGGTTGGCTCCCATCCCATTACTCCTGGTTAGTCTCTTACCTTTCTTATCTTTGACTTTCCTTGAATATATCCCCAATTTGAGTTTTCCTCATGAAAACTTCCACTCAAATAAAGCATTTTAAAATAAAAAAAACTTTATTTATTGAAGCATAAATGTTTACAAAATTTGGATAATCCCAAAAATGAAGTCTCAAGAGTAAACATTAAATGAAAAGGGGAAAAATAAATGTGAACAAAAACTCATTCGTTCATGATATATTTTATCATGGGTTCTCTCAAACTCTCTTTAACATCTTTCCAGCATCTACAGAGACTTTGTTTAAAAAATGCTTCACTAAATATGTGTCCCCTCCTTGCCAGTTCCTCTCTGTATTGGATTGCAATGTTTGAGAAAAAGAGTGCGTCTTGCTCATTGACAATTTGTTTAGCATAATAACTCAATTTTGAAAATAGACACTTTTGATGCTTGTATTCATCAGCATGCTTTTCTGCTATTTGTTCTATTAAATTTATGTCCTTGGGTCTGCAGACTTCTTCCTCTTGTTGGTCAGGAAGACATTTCCTTTCACCACTGCTCCCCTCAGGTACATTAGAGTTTACTTGTGATTGAGGCGCTTTTCTTTTATTTGTACTTTCGACAGCATAATAATTTGAAGATTTTGGAGCATCAGAAAGAGGAGAATAAGTTGGATATTTTCCAAAAGAGTGGTTAGAATTTGAGTTTGAGTTGGCCATTTCCTAAACCCAAAAAGAAGAAGTTAAGAAAAATAAAAATAAATATTCAAAAATATTTATTTGCTATTTTTCGTACCCAAAAAGTCATAAAAAAATAGGCACATAATATATCAATTTATAGCTCATGATTTCAGAAATATTTCAGGTCAAACAGGGCTCAAAAATATCCCCTCACGCTCCCTCACGCGCCCCAATAAACATTCAAATTTTGTTATTCTTTTTTAATAAAGGGTATGTTCGCCCACTCTCGGGACCGGCGCGTGTGCCTCTCGCCGTTACCTGACCTATTCCATCTAATTCCTCACGTCTTAAGGAGTCTATATATGTGCTTTTTATGACAAAAGGATCCCTAGGTGGACCCCACGCGTCCACAAGGCGCGTCCGAAAAAAATCTTTTTTTTTTTAATTCAAAAAAAATTATTTTTTTTATTTTTTTTGGGGTCAGGTCGATCTACCGACGCCGTTTTGGGCTGGTCAGGTCGTCCCTAACCTCCAGCCGAGTCGCCCCAGATCCAGCCGGAGCTTCGGCGGGTCCGTCGCGACCAGTCATTTTCGAACAGTGATTTCTTCCTCCTCCGAGCTCCGTTTTATGCATTTTAGGTGTCTATGAACTCATATTTTCGTGCTCTACAACTCTATGGGTTCATTTTCTTTAAAAAACATCATTTTTAAAGATTCAAAAAACTGGTTCGTACGGCCGACGTTAGAGCTTTTGAAAAAGAAGATTTCGATCACGTTTTTGAACCTTATGGAATAACAGGTAATGTTTTCGAACTTCACTTATATATACAGAGTGTGTATTTGAGTTTAAAACACAAGCATATTGAGTTCGAATTGAATACAGCATAATCATGATGCAGCGGAAAAAAAATGAGCGTGAATAATATATGCACACATATATTGAGAGCCTCAAGAACATCTCGGCTCTGATGCCAATGTAAGGAAAAAAAAAAAGTTAATGGATCGAAAACATACCGGTCGGATCTCGGGTCGGGTCGGTCGGATCTTCTTAACTCACGCTTAAGCTAGACTATAAAAGTCTAAGCTTTTAAGTGCACAGCAGAGCACCTCTTTTGCAAGAAAGAAAATAAGGGAGAGAGAGAGAGATATATATATAGTAGGAAAGCTCTACTACTGGAGTGATTTAAACTGATGGGGGGAAGCCTCTATTTATAGCTTTTGTCAAGGATATTTTGGGTAGCATAAAAATATCCACTGAGCCTATCAGATAAAATCTGAGATAAGATATAATATATCCTTATCTCATAATATCATGATATTTGAATTTAAATCCAGAATCAATCACAATTAATTCTAAATATATATACTTAATATATATTTAATCTACACAATATAAATTAATTAATTTAATATAAATTAATTAGATTTATATCGTAACCGATTGGATATGATTCAGGGTGTTTGACCAAGTCAAACATATCACAATATCGCTTGGATATTTGACTGATATATTCTCTTTATACCCGGTCAAATAATCCGGCCCATCAAGGGCGGATCCAAACCCAAAAATCCAACAGACATGAACAAGAGATCTTGTTCTCAATGGTTGTCAACCAAGTCGTTCAAGCTATCTTCATCTGCAGATTTCTTCAGACGAGCAGCAGCTTTATCAACCTACATAAGAAAGGCAAAACAAACCATTTAGCTGGATCATTTCCTCAAAACAAGAATCTTACTAGGTGTTTGGAATATCTTAAAACAATCACTTTGCGCTTTGCCACATAGAATTCCTCACTTATTTATCTCGTACAACACAAAAATACAACGTTTGTAGAGAAGGATCTAAAGTCAGAAATTTTGAGTATGTATGTATATACCTCAGCATCCCAGTTTGTTCGGATGATCACAATGCCCACAGTGGCAGTCTGAAGAACACTTCCTATGATTATGCCCCAGTATAGACCCTATTCATAACATACAAAATGCTTATTCCTTCATCCTCAACATGCTTATTTACCATATAGGGATAGCTGTTTTCACTTCAATACTTTATAATTATAATTATGGAGTCATAATTTTTTTTTGAAGGTGTTCTATTGGCAGGAATAAAAAGCTCTTTCTTGGAAAACAGAGAGAGAGAGGAGTTAGGTGGTGTATGTAACTTCTTTTTCCTAAAAAAAAAAAAAAAAGAGGTTCTCTTATTTTAGAAGCATTTTAAAAGCTTGTAACTTAGAGGATCCAAATTCTTGGTGGTTACCCTATTTGAAAAAAGTGGCACAAGAGGAAAAAAAAAGTGTATAATTTGACTATCTGAAATTGAGGTGCTTTTGAAGTGAGTGAAAAATGACACCAAATGAGAGTAGTATGTATGGGATTGGTTCATTTTCCTTGTTTCTGCTCACTTGCTATATTCTTTAAAGATCTTGTCTTCAGAAGTACTTTAAACATATTGTCTTAGCTATCATTTATTATTAGCATGCTAAGGAAACTGATAAAGTTCATCAAACTTACTGCAATTCCTAAGCTGGTTTTAAAACCAAGTAGGCACGCAATAGTGAGGCCAATAACATAATAAGAAACCAAGTTCACCCAACCCACTAGACTTTGCCGCCCACTTCCAATTGCCTGGCCTATCAAATAAATGAAATATAAATTTTAGGAACCTAAAGATGAAGAAAGAAAGAAAGAAAGAAAAAGGCATCTCAAATTCAAATTGATTTATCTGGATGCACGCCCAAGTATCAAATGCTCCATTTCCCACTATATATCACTCATTTTGAACAGCAAGAAGCATGATCTTCTAAATGCAAGAGAATTTATTGATCACTATAATGGTAATGTTGGGTGGTTACCAAAGAGAATGAAGTGATTGCCATTGATGAGGAAAGAAATGGCAACAAGTGGAAACAAACTGTAAGTGACTTTAAAAACTTCAGGATCAGTGGTATAGAGCTTGATCAGTCCAACCCGAAATATCAGAATTATTACTGAGAAAATGAAGCTTATGAGGATGGCAATTCCATTGAATACGGCAATTGAGAATTTTGCCACTCTTGGATTACCTGCCCCAAGCTCATTACCTACTCGAACACTGCAAAACCCAATCACATCTCAACTCTTTACTGTGTTAAGGCACTGCGAGATTGATGCAGGACTAAACAATACACACACAAACCTGGAGGCTACTAACATGCCTGACGAAAAATTGGAGCTCCAGTTCAAGTAATTGATGCTGAAAGCATATTAACCACATTATGAGGAATTCGAGCTTGAAAGTATAAACATTTCGGCTAGAGAGAAATGAAAAGAGATTGAGGGAGGAAAAAATAATATACAGTTACCAGATGGCTAGAGAGTCCAACACGATGGTAGGGTTGGGAAGCATCTCAGACACCAGATACACAGCAAGATAGTAACATGACTCCAAACTACATTCATTTGACAAAGTTTCTTTACCAGATCACATATCTAGCAAATGATTGTAATCAACAGATTCACAAAATCCTGCTTTCAAGTCACCATTCGACGGAAGAGAATAGCAACAAGATAATTGAGAGTTTCTGGACTAGATTCTTAGGTTATGGAAACTTTGTTTTCAGGTCGCTGTTCAACAGAAAGCAGGAACAGAGGTGCAGAGGAGAATAGTGATGAATTAAATTATTAAGACAGGAATAAGAAATCTTGGTTATTGATTGCTTCTTTTACCTCTTAAAGTTAAACATTCATCTCACATGACATGTCCCTTACCCTTATGAGTGTATGTGTCAAATAGGCACTAGAAGTCCTTGAGAAAATTTATTTTCCTACAAGTCCCAAATTAATTTATAGTTCCATCTTAGAAACAAAAGCCAAAACACATATAATTTTCATTTTTATTCCATATGCATTGCAGATTAGTTAAATACTCAATTAGTGTTCATGATGCCAGTGCTGCACTCTATTTCCCTTCCATTCATTGTAAGATTTCAATAAAAGTGCACCAAGCAAGTCACTTGAATGTCTTTGTACAATCAATTTCGACTACCAACCTTTTATAAACAATTCTATTTGAATATGTTTCACAGAAAGAGGTTTGGACACATACCACATCATAACAGTAGACGAAGCAGTGAGCTTCGCATAAGGCCAGAACCCCTTCATCTGGAAAGCTTTAACAGAAAACCCAGTCCTAGTTTCCTTGCAAGAAGGGCTGAGAATAATGTAGAGCCCTATGACAAGCACAAAAACCCAGCAAGAAAGGCTTAAAGTAAGAGCAGCCCCCAATAGGCTGCAGCCTAGAACAGAAACCACTAGCCATGTGAGAAGCAAGTGAAAGAGAAAAACCCCAACAGCTACGTATGCCAGAAAGTTCACTATATTCTGTGCCATGAGGAACCTCTGCATAGGGTAGAGAAGTGCATATGCATAGAGCTGAGGGACTAATCCACGTCCAAAAACTTGGCCAAGTTCTGCAATTTCATCGCTCTCATATTTGCCAATAAACCTGAGAAGTGGACCGCAATACCAGTATAGAAATGTTAGAGGAATAGCTGCCCCTAACTGCAGAATAATTGATCTTTGACATATTATGCCCATTACTGCATATTTTTTGGCCCCGAATGCTTGCCCACATAGAGTTTGAACTGCAGCAGACATTCCTACCTGCTTAAATTTACTCTAGTTAAATTTTTGAGAAGGAATATATCCGCCATTCAGCAATGAAAATCATAGTTATGACGAGTTATACAGGTTAAAATCTGACAATTAATAACTCAGCACATATCTTTAGGGATTTTATATCATATATCTCTTATTCAATGGTAGGTAATCAGGAATAGTCTATGATATAAGCTTCATCCGAATTTCTACGGCTAATACGTCCTTACTTGAATTACATGTTTTATTTAAATGCAGAAAAAAGAAAATCATGCACAAAATGGAATCTTTATGTAATTCTTCATCCGATATAATTGTTGCCAGAGGGTTTTGAGATGCCAGCTTGCTACAGGAGATATATTTCTGGTTGAACGGGAGGTAAGGGCATGACTGAGTCAAAGACGCTGTGAAAGAAGGAAAGAGAAGGGAATGCGCTCTTTGGGTCACAATCACATTTCATTGCCCAGTTACCCACGCCCTTAAGTTTTTTTTTTTTTTTTTTTTTAACTGGTAAAAAAAAATTAAAAAAAATTGCTAAAAAATCTCCCGTGAAAATTTTATTGTTCAAAGATACCTGAGATTTATTAGCTCTTGAACAAGGGTAACTAATTTTTAATTGTATATAATATATCTCCAGTTATGCATAAGTGTATTGTCTTCCATGTTGAGACACAAATGTGGTTTTGACAAAAACCAGCAATCAATTTTGGTGTTCTTCACTTGAATAAGCATCGTAATATTTGTTAAATTTGAATAGTTTATATTGAATACAAATATTCTTTGGTAAAAAAAAAGAAAAAAGAATGCGAATATTCCAGATTTGATGTTTTTAGAATTAAAAAGAGTATTTTAATTTGCATAGAATTTAAATAAATATTTTATTTAAAAATCACCTGTTGAAATATGTAAATTTAAACTACTAAAAATAAGACAAGTCACTTTAGATTGATCGCAATCCCAAATATTGCTGGCAAAAAAAAAAAAAACACTATTCTAACGATAACCGACAGCCAATATTTAAAGCTGAAAGTGACAGCATTGTTGTGAACAAAGGCACATACCATAACTCCAAAAGCCAGAGCTTGAAGTCCAAGACAAGCAAGAGAAGCAGCAGCAAGCTGAGTATCACCCAGATGACCAACAAAGATAAGAGTCACAAAGATCAGCATATAAGTGAACAAACAACAAGTCACAGAAGGCCATGATAGCTTCCAAATCAGCCTTGTTTCCCACCCCACAACCCTAATCCACCATTTCCATCTAAGAAGCTTCCTCTTCTCTGCATATTTTCCCAGAAACTCCTCAACTTGTGCAGAACAATAACTTGGAATCCTAGCCCCATCATCTTCTTCTTCTTCTTCCTGAATCAGCAATGGCTGATATTGGTCAAGAGAACTGCTCATGGTTTGTTATTATGCTGGGAATCTTGAGGTTTGTCCTTTGTTTTCGCTTTTCTGCTTTAGAGTATGGTTATTACTTTTGAACGGAGGCAGAAGAAGTAGGTGAAGTCCTTTTGTCCGGACTTATCAGCTAACAATCAAGGGAGTGATCGATTGCTTGGTGACGAAACGTACTAACTACCCAATTAATATTCACAAAAGTCACTTTTATCTTGACTAATTTTTGCAAGCTGAAATTGGGATAAATTAAAAGTCAATGTAAAGTGACTATGCTTAAATAATTTTTTTATTAAAAAGCCAAAAATTTATTTAAATAATATATTAAAAGAATCAAATAAATGCTAGCTCATGTATGGCGCGTCAAAACTCCTTGCTATTAATAGAGATGGAAATGGTAATGCTAATAGATTGGTAACGCTATTTTAAAGTATTTTACTCAAATACCCTAAATTATTTTTTGAGCTGCATCTAGTATCCTAAATTATATCTCAACTAGTACAGTGCCCATGCAATGCACGGGTATGAATTCGTAGTTTTTTTTTTTATATAAGATAAAAAGTTGAATCACCACAACATAATTAATTAAATATTATATTTCTATTTCAAGTCATAATTTCAATTTAATTTAAGAATAAAGTATTCATAAACTTTTGAAATATGTAATATATGTAAGTCTATTATCTAACATTTTAAAAAGATTGAATTAATAGAGACAAAATGGTTAGTGAGTTAAAATATTTTTGAAAACCATATAAAGATGTACTCCCATAAGTTGAAAGTGATTGTCATGGACAATAACTTCAAGTTTAGACACCCCATCCAAAGAGAATTGCCTCTATAACATTCAAATAAGCAGTTCCTATTAAAAATCAAAAGGAGATTCTAAACCAAGAACTAACAATATGAACTTAAAATAATATAAAACTATCAAAACAATATTAAAATATTCATATGCAAGAAATATTTTATGAAGACAGAAGAAATATAGGAAAGAACCACAATAATAGCCTATGGTTGCAAACCAAAACTTGAAATGTATCACTACAAAAAAATAGACTTTAGGCGATGACTTTCGGCGGCGACAAAAAAAGTCGCCGCCGAAAGTGGACTTTCAGCGGCGACTTTTCTAGTCGCCGCTGAAAGTATAATATAATAATATATATTTTATTTTACAATATTAATAAACAAATTGTCGAAAATGGACCTTTAGCGGCGACTTTTTTGTCGCCGCCGAAAGTGGACCTTCAGCGGCGACTTTTTTGTCGCCGCTGAAAGTATAATATAATAATATATATTTTATTTTACAATATTAATAAACTGCCGAAAATGGACCTTTAGCGGCGACTTTTTTTGTTGCCGCCGAAAGTGGACCTTTAGCGGCGACTTTTTTTGTCGCCGCTGAAAGTATAATATAATAATATATATTTTATTTTACAATATTAATAAACAAATTGCCGAAAATGGACCTTCAGCGGTGACTTTTTTTGTCGCCGCTGAAAGTATAATATAATAATATATATTTTATTTTACAATATTAATAAACAAATTCAATCTGGCTCAGCGGCAAGAAGGTTAGACACAAAGGGAGGCGGTCACGAGTTCGAACCTGGAAGAAGACACATTTAAGGTGAAAATATTTAGACGATGACGTGGCGAGGAGGAGTGACGTGTCAATGACGTGGAGGTGGCTAGTGATGATGTGGCGGTCGGCGGTGATGACGTGGCCGCTGATGGCGATGACGTGGAGGTCGACGGTGCTGACGTGGCGGCCGAAGACAATGACGTGGCACCGGCGATGATGACGTGGCATTGGTAAAGCCAATTCTTCTTAGGCATTACTTTCAGCGGTGACAAAAAAGTCGCCGTCGAAAGTGTTTTCTGCGCGACTTTTTTGTCGCCGCCGAAACTGCTAAAAGTCGCCGTTGAAAGTATCTTTTAGTGGCGACCTTTTTAGTTGCCACTGAAAGTTTTTAGCCACGGCTGCTACGGCAACGATTTTTCAGCGGCGACTTGTCGCCGCAAAAAACTTTCGGCGGCGAATTTTGTACTTTCAGTGGCGACTTTTATCGCCGCTGAAAGTTAATTTTTTTGTAGTGTATGGTACTCACATATTAAAATGTTAAAACTTCTATGCAATTAGATGACATAGAATGATACTGAAATTTAATTTTAAAGAAAAGGCTAAAGTATGATTAAAATAAAGTAAGGACCAAGGTTACTCTAATACAGGTGGATGCTTGAGTGTTTTTGACTATCTCATCACAAGCATAACCTTCCTAGTATTCTTGTCTATTAAAAACTTAATAGTACTCGTGCCTCTCTCCTTGTATCAATTCCCAACAACTTCTCCTCCACTATCATGGTCAATTATTTGATTAATTCAATTAATTCTCAAATAACTCTCATTCCTTTTTCTTTTTTTTTTTGGCGTGAGACGTAACTCTCATTCAACGTATACCTTGATTAATTTTACCGCATAGATACAAATAAAACCAAAATCAACCAAATTTCAAAATTATACTACCTCCGGTTTTTAATATAAAAACTAGTTTAACTTTTAATTTAGTTTTAAATATAAGACCCTAATCCACTTTGTCTTTTATATTTATCTATTTTTTCTAATGTAATCCTTATAGTAATTGCATATGTCAAATGTTAATGACATTTGATTAGTAAGGATATTTTAGAAAAAATAATACATATTTATTACAAATAATTAACTTAACTAATTTTTTTAATTTAATCAAATTAGTCAACTAGCTCATATATTAAGAATCGGAGTTAGTATATAAATGCAAATTACAAAATTATATATAAATGTAAAGAGACAAACACGAGCACAATAATTTATTTTTATGTTGATAGAAAATAATTTTATTTTTCCATTTTATTTTTTTAGGAAAAATTAATATTTTAGTCATCTAATTTTTAATTCACTTATAACTCAGTCTTTTAATAATGACTCGTTGTAAGTTAGTTACTGAACTTTTGATTTGCTTATTATTCACTCCCTCATTTTTTTCATTTTTTATATTCTTATCCTTCAGTGAGTTATGAGTCATCCATGTGGTATAAAATTTAAACAAAATGAAGTAAGGACCAGAGAGGACGGACTGACGTGGCACAGATGAAAAGAGAAGCTTATTATCTGCAACTTCGTTCTTTTTCTCCATTGACGCCCACTTGAATGCAGTTTAAAAAAAAAAAAAAACAAAGAAAGGTAAGTTGAGAACATCTTCTAAGTCCCGAGCCGGAAGTTCATCCTTGTGAAGTGAAACTTCCAATGGTTCAGCTTGCACAATTACTCATGGGTGATTTATCCTTCACAACCTTCAGTGAAAGCCATGGGCAAATTCCAGACTAAAATAAGACCCCCTAATTAACTTCTTCATGACCCGTAGCTTAATTGTATTTCGCGGTTTCTTCTGGGAAATCCCCATATCTTTCTATTTTTTCCTTTGTTATGTATTTTTCCTTACTCTTCGTCATGTATATGTCTCAACTCTCTCTATCTCTAAGCATGTCACTCTATTTTTCAACTATGGCATACCAAGACCCATAAGTTATTGGCGACAGCAATGAAGGTTCGGGTCACGTTGCTCTCAGTATATCAGGAAGCGGAGTTCACGATTCTGCACCATCCCTTTATTTAGGCATGAACGAACATGGATTTGTGTCAAATAAAGAATCATTGTAATGAGTTATACACATAGGTATAACCATTGGATCTGGTGTCATTTCAAATATAAACTAGACCTAGACCAATGACACTTGGGGCACGGAGAAATTAGTAAAGCTTGCATCTATGAACCCACAACTCTTAGGTATGTACTAGAGGTGTTAAGCGCCAGATTATACCCGCCACATTTCTGCTGTTAAAGATGATTTTGCATATTATAATGGTTGTGTGCATTCATGGTGCATAACAAATGCTCTAGATATTTCACCACGATCTCATAGGAGCAGTCCCACTCTACATTCATAGAGATAATTTCATCTAAATGTACTTGTACTACATACACTATCCCGTAGGATTATAAAATTATTAAGAGCTTTTGCTCAGTCTCACAAAAATGCAGTCTAACACATACCTGTATACTATAAGAAGTGACTTCAGAGAATTATTCAATGCTAGCAGAATTAACAAACAATTTGTTCTCATCCATTAAACCTTCTTGATGGGATCACCAATCACAAAAGTTGGGTTGCCATCACTGTTAATTTCAAACCAGCTTTAGTACCATTCCCCTCGATATTTCAACAATCTGCTTCCTCCCCAAAGGTTTTGTTAATGGATCCGCAAGATTCACTTTTAACCTTACAAAATCGATTAAGATCACCCCTCCTTTTAGCAGCTGCCTCAAAATATTGTCTCTCAACCAATTATGTCTACTTTGATTATTAAACGTTTTGTTTTTAGTCATGGCTATCGCAGACTAACTATCACAGTGTAATGATATTGATGGTATAAGCTTGTCACCCAATAAGATATTTGCTAAAGAAGTTTTTCAACCACTCAGCCACAGCTCCAGCCAAATCCCTAGTAATTAACTCAGAATCTTTTTCAGATGTGGTTATGATACTTTGTTAGTCTGACTTCCATGTGACAACCCCACCACCAATTATCTCTTCTAAATCTAAGATCTAGTTGGCATCACTATATCCTTTTAATACAGTGAGAAATCCACTATACACTTGGTCTTCCTCTCTCCCATCCCATGTGGGATTTTATTTGACACACACCTTACACTTTCCGCAACATAAGTAAATTTCTAAGATTATTTGCCTATTATGGCCAACAAGCTTGGTGTAGATGGACTGACAAATGAACTGTGCAATGGGTTTAATTTGTAGTGGATTCTGATAAAGGGGTCATCACGTTCGACAACCTTAAGAGGAATTCCACTTTGCTGGGGTACAACATTTTGCGGTTGAGGATCTTTGCTCCACGTTGAGAGGTGATTTTGGCGTTGGTGGTGCTCTGAATTAGCTGGAATTCTTGATTACGGAAGCTTTGTCTATAGAGCTTGTGAAGGACGCCTCTTCTTTTCATCTTTGCAACATCTATCTTTTCATATCCTTGCTTCTTTAATTTAGTTTAAATTTTATAAAAAAATCCAGGTGGAACTGATTTGGAAGCTATTTTTGCCATCTTGATGACCCATAACTCAAAGAAGGATAATAATATAAAATGTAAAAACATGAGAGATCGAGTTATAGTCAAGTCAATAGTTTAAGGACTGAGTCGTACCAAGTTATAATTAAAAAACCGAGTTACAAGTGAGTTAATAGTTGGAGGATTAAGATTAATTTTTTCTTTATCTTATTTCGCATTTTTTGACTACTTATATGTTGTTTAATAAACATAAATATATCAACCCTAATTAATATATTATGACCATGGAGATTGATTCTTATAATGGCAAAAGTGTAAGGACCTTATAAAAAGATTATAAAAACTTGATTAAAAATTAAGTAAAACTATCAAGATGAAAGAAGGGAAAATAACACATTAAGAACCTCAAAATTGCTAAATCTCCCAATGAGTACCCCAATATACAGAAACTTTAAAAAGTGCAGAAACATAAATTGAAGCTTTGAAATTCAATCAAAAAGACACGAGTGCCTCTTGTTTAAGGAAAAAAAGGTTTCTCACCCTCTTGCCGTAAACCCTGCCAGTGACTGCTGGGAGGAATATTTCGACACTGGTGGGAATATTTTGGACTAAGTAGTAGAGGTGAAATTTCATCTCATGACCACTTACATTCTAAAATTAAGGATGACCATTGAGTCTCCAAATTTGATTGACATTATAATGTAAAAATTATACTCCTCCTGTCCTTAATATAGGACCCAATTCTTGAGTTGGTTTTGATCCTAAATATAAGACTCATTTCTCATATTTATCAGTTTTCTCTAAATTACTCCTATGGATACTCCCTCAATCATAATCAAGTAGAAGAGGGAGAGGAGGTATTAAGAAAGATGATTATGGTGTTTTAGAAAAAATGTGTCACTATTTTTTATAATTAACTAACTTACCTAACTTCCTTAATTTAATCAAATTAGTTAAATGGGCTTATCTTAAGGACCGGAGGAGTACAAGTTAACTCTTTATCTTTGATTGCAGATCATTCACCAGTTTTATACTGGTTTTAACTACACTTCATCAAATATTAATAATTTTTGTTTAGTATAAGTAACAAGGTCACACAATTTTTATATAGGTATCAACTACATTTAATTAGTTATTAGCAACTTTCATCCAGCAATCTAGCAATCACGATTTTTAAATTTCATACGTTTTAAACAAATTAACAAGGCCCTTTGACCACAAGAGTGATTCATAGTTAATGAAATGTCATTGATAGCTAAACAAAAATTATGAGTGACCTGAAAGAGTGATCTTATTACTTGTCACATGAAAATTGTGTTTTTTTTTTTTATAGAAGGGAAAGAAAACAAAATTACCAACAAATCTCCAGAGCCTAAGCTCATAAAACGGGTAACAGCATCAGCACCCAAAAGTTGAAGGCCGTGAGGATTCGCCAGAGCTCTTTTTGCTAAGGAGTCCGCCACCTGATTGTCGTCTCTAGCTAAGTATTGTAGTCTCCTTGGCTTCCATAATCAGGTTGAAGTCCTCGTGTAGGTCAGGAGGGTCTGTCTGCAGAAGCTTCAAAGCTTCCTGATCGTAAAAGCACATTCCTATGACCTCCGTCCCAAGCTCTTTTCAAGCCCATAAGGCAACCCCAAAGCTCAGCTGAGAGAGCATCTCCAGAAACTGAAATCCTTCCAGGACAGAACCATCCTTATCTCTGTGAATTCCACCACAAGCGGCATTATAGTCGTTGAGAGAAAAGGTTCCGTCAACATCAACGGATACATTGAAAGATTCCACCAAAAGATCCGTGTCATCACATGAAAATTGTTAACAGCTAATTAAATGTAGTCAATACCAATACAAAAATTATGAATGACATGAAAGAATAGCCTTGTTACTGGCTAAACAAAAGTTGTTAACATCTAATGAAATATAGTCAAAATCAATACAAAAGTTGTGAATGACTCAAAAGAATAACCTTGTTACTTGCTAAATAAAAGTTAATACTACCTCCGGTCCTAATTATAAGAGCCAGTTGATTAATTTGAGGAGATTAAGAAAGTAAGTTGAGTTAGTTATTTGTCCTAAATAGGTGTTGTCTTTCCTATAATTATTAGAAGGATTATCTTAAAAAAAATTGAGTAAATATGAGAGACAAAGTGGATTGGGGCTTATATTTAGGACTAAAATAAAAGTCAAACAGGATCTTATATTAAGGACTGGAGGTAATATATGATTAAGTATAGTCAAACCGTACAAAAGATGTGAATAACCTTAAAAAAGTAACATTATCTCGGTTCCTAAACTTCAAACAATACTAACAACTTTTGAATAAATTTTACCAATTTCGGCATAAGAATCAGGCTAAAGTCTACATCTAGCCGCTTGATTTCATAAAAGGTTTCAATCTGATCCATTGACGTGTATATTTAATCATTTAATCCTAAAATTATTAGTCTGATATAATGATTTTTTTGTAACAATTATAGTTTTTTTTTAAATTAAACTGTTAGTATTTGAAAATAATTTATCAACATTTAATAGCTCAATATCTTTCTTTTTTTTTGGTTAACAATTCAAGTTTAAACAACTAAAAATATACTTCTTAAATTTACATAACCAAATCGTAACCTTGTGTAAATTTAAAGAATTGAAATATATTTTAACCTATAAATTAACAAGCCAAGATCTTAACATAAAAATTTGAGAAAATAAAAACAAAACATATCTTTAAGGAAATGTTCAATTACAAATTTCAACGAGTAACAAAAAATTTTCAACTCATTTTCCTTATTTCGAAATAGAAATTATAAACCAGAGCATTTGTCTTTTCATTGAACTTCAAAATTCCATTTTAGGATTTTGCTACTTTAGATACCTCGTGAAGGATTTGACATTCTTTATTAGTCATTTTCCCATAGAAGAATTATCCTTAAATTAAATTTATGAAGTGTTCAAATTTTAAACTTTTCAGAAAACAAAATATAGCCCCATTCGACCCAATCAGGAAAGATCAAACACGCTTGTCTCACTGAATACCAAAAAAAATTAACGTGCCTTTTAATCAATCTGGGTCGTGGGTTGTGACGTCCTCTTAACCCGTACCAAAAGAAAAGCTAACATAGTAATAAGATACCAAAGATGAGTCTAATGAAATGAAGATAGCTACAGAGAGCTTAAATCTTGAGAGCATAACATGAACATCAAATAAATTTGCCAAGGTTTTTAGGGGGGTGAAAAGGACTTGGTACTCACTAAGTTTTCTTTTAAATATGACCAATAATTTGGAAGACGTCAAGGGGAGAAAGCACAAACCCTACTGATAAGGACATGACTCCATCTTCTACATTTAGTGCTGATCTAAGCGTTACAGTGACAGCTGAAGAAACAAGGTCACCTATTATAATTTACAGTGATATGCTGTAGATCTGAATAGGCCTTGCAGAATCACTAATACATACTCAACTATAAAATGGATATATAAGAATACTAGGCCAATCCTGAGACGAGAAACATCTTTCATAAAGACTCCAGACATTCTTTACCACTATGCCTATGAAGCAGATCATTCTAATAGTCTAGAGACCCCATTGACGCAATCCCATTGCTAGGATTTCTCAACTCTTGCCGACTCGCATAGTTGTCAGTGGTAGAAAGCCTGTGGGCTAATGCAGAAGCCGTGGGACCAGAACTTTCTCTGCCCATTTGTTGTACTTCAAGTGGAGACAGAATCTTGATGTACCACACATTGTTCACAAACTCCCTGCAAAAGAAGTGTCTCAGAAATACTTGAGAAATGGCATGGTGCCTGTAAAGGCTATGGCTAAGCAGAGGCAACAAGACTTTAGTAGTTTTTTATTCTTTCGTGGACCAACATTATTTTAGTATTTTTAAGTACAAAGAATTTAGTAGTATCAAAGCAATCAATATATTCAATATCAAGGACCAGGGTAAATATGAGAGACCGAAAAAACATTTAATCAATGTTACATTTCCAAATTATGGGTACCACGCCACAAATAATCACTATCAGACACTAGCGGAAAGCTAGTCATCAATAAATGACAACCAATATGACGTAACTGAACAAAAATTTACCAAAAACTAGTATAATGCAAGACTTACTGCCAAGGGTCATCACCAAGGAGAAGAACATCATTCTCCCGGTCAACGAATACAAGCTGCCAGCCTGATCTCTGAGGGTTCTCTAGTTGGCCTTCAAGCCCAAACATGCGGGCAAGCTCACTACGTAGTTCATCGTAGCTGCTAAACTTAGAGATGTCCAGTGACCTCCCAAAGCACCCTAACTTGTGAACCTGTCCGGAGAAAAACAAATAAGAGTAGAGAACATTAGATGTAAGCTCATCATGCAAAAAGAAATCATACATAAATATGAAGCTCTTCATGGTAACTAGTATATACTCATAATATAAATACCCTCCCACTCCCCATGCAGAAGGCACATTGAACATGAACATGCTACATGCCAGTGTTCCGTTTGCTCCTGGTCCTTTCATGTACATAATTAAAGATTTTCCAATTATATTCATTTCATATTCATCCTCCAATATGATATGAATCCATCCATCATCTTTCCTTCTTTCCAACCATCTTTTTCCTTTTTTTTCCTTCCTTTTCTCTCTCTGTTTCTTTCTTCTCTTTTTTTTTTTTGGGGGGGGGGGGTGTTGTTTTGAGAGGTGCACTCACATAACTCACAAGGCCGCCCACGTAAGTATCCATTCATAGTAAACAATGCTATGCAGAACACAAGTACACAGACAGCAGACCTCTTTCTCAACACACAATAAAGAGATTGACGTATTGTATAACTCCACCATTCTGGGAGTAAAAATGATCTCCTAACGTGCGAATAGAACTCCAAAATCAGCCATGCCCGCCCTCTTCCTGGAGAAGGGAGCTAGAGAACTTTGAGGCCTTAGTTTCCATTTATTGATGGTTTACATTTCCGTTTTCAACCAAATATGACCAGTGCAAGTATATTTAAACATATTACTTTGCAGAGGTTCACCTACATTATCTCTGCAACATAAAATTCCTTCTTTCCATAAATGTTCAGATGCTGCTCAATTATATCACCATGTTCCCAGAAATTTTGATGTTTCCAAACCTATGAATAACACCAAAATATGATATTAAGTTCTTATTGAGCTCACAGGTTATAAACCAGCTTTCCTTCCTTGTGTATTTTAACTAACGTAAACCGCATTATTGAACAATTGGAATACAATTCAACATTGACGCAATTGTGTTTTTATCAACTATAGTACATCCTCACAATTTGTTATATGAATTTAGCTCACAAAATTTAGTCCAAAGAAAAAATGATACGTCCCACACTTCAGAAAGCAATCCCTCCATCCTCCAAATATAAAATGCCCAGTTTCAACAAAAAGTGAGGACATTATATTAAGAAACAGTGGCACTAAGGTACAAAATTTAAAAGAAAACTTTACCTTGACAAAGGTTCCAGTTGATGTATTTGCTTGCTCCACATTTTCTGAAGACTGCAAAAAACCAGATTCATCTACACAACTTGATGTTGTCATATCTGAACTTGGAGGATAATCAGTCCCTGTAGCACCACCGAAGTTTGAAGCTGAAAAGGGCATCAATAATGTATCATTCTCATTGCCAACGTTTCTCATGTTTGACATGCTATTTTGTGACATAAGAGTAGGATCAATATTAACCCCAAACAAAAGATTGGTCTGAGGATCAGTGGCACCTGGGTATGCAGAATATTCTCTTCCAGGAAATGGAGGCAAAATAGGAAGTTCAGATACATTTGAGTGTGATGTACCCAAGTTTCCCACCTGGGGTAATACACACTGAGCAGCAGCAGTATGAAACTGAGGTTCAGCAGTTATTTGCTTGGGTAGTAAGGAAGCAGGAGAAACCAGAGAGTTGGATCCATTCATGTTAAGTAACTGGGATACTCCATCCTGGGGAAGCGATCCAAGTAGACTGTGGATAGCAGAAACATCAGAGCTGGGAATTTGGTTCTGGTTCCTGGCAGGTTCAGGGAAACTCTGCTGCTGGCAATTTGAAGCAATGGCTGGCATGGGTGGAGAGACAAACTGGGTGGGTGATGCAAAATTAGACAAAGGAGAAACAACATTTGAGATCTGCTGCTGAACAGGTAAACTGTTAGGTCGATGCTGCTGCTGCTGCTGCCGCCTCTGATCATTATAAGGATGGTAACGCTGCATCTGTCGTTGCAGAAGTGAAGACTGAGAAGGAATCTGGTTTTCTTGAAAGTTGTATAGGACATTTTGGGACTGAGACTGCTGTAACACTTGCCTCTGGATACCAGAAGAAGGAGCACCAGGAACATTTGAAGACTGCTGAAACTGCAGCAGAGATTCAGAAGAAGGTTTAGACGGACCCATTGCTCTCATTTCCTGAAGTGCAGCAGCAGCCATTGCTTGGTATATTTCTGGCTGAAGTCCGGACATGGAAGCACCAAGTGTTGGCTGCATCCATGGTGCAACCCCCAGTCCCTGGAAGTTCAGAGATTGCATTCCTTGATCCCCAAGCCCACCTTGGAGCCACGTGTATGGAGAACCAATGTTCATGTCACCATCTTTTAGACCTGAAGCACACAAACAAGGGAAACAATTAAGTTGAGCCAAAGGAGAATATGCCACGTAACTCACTGCACAAGTAAAGCAATGCATGCTACCAAAAGAAGGTAGTCCTGACGGCCAAGGGCGTTTCAGCCTCAAAGGAAATGGGGATGGATACATAGGGAATGTTGTCAACGGTTCAATCTCCCACAAGGAAACTCTAGGCTGCCTGTCCCCTGCAGTGGACTCATCCCAGCCAACCTGCACCAATAGGCAAAAGTTTATACATTCTACATCATTTCCAAAGGTTCCCAATATTTTAACATTTTAATATTGTTGAAAAAACTGTATTGACAAAGCCCCATAGCTGTTTAAAGTGAATGATTTCGACAAACCTTCACTGAACGCCAGTGTGAATTTGGCCAGCGAACAGGATCTAAATCACTAATGCCTGTTATAGTACCCATGTACCTGGACAAGGACATATTAAATAGAGTAAACGCATCATTGCTCAATAAAACCAAAGAAAATAAGCAGTAACGAAAGGAAATGGTCATCATCATCATAACAATGACAACAACGATGACAATTGCTATGATTCACAAAAGCTTCAACTGTCACGAATGCATAACCTGTGCAGCTGCACAGTCCCCAGGCTGAGCTGCTTTATTCATGACTTGTGAATAGTATAACTCCTTGTAGACTTCATTATTTATATTGATATAAAAAATATTAATAACAGAAGCCAACCGTGACAACAATTCTTTAGCAGAAAAAAAATTTTGAGAAAGAAAGAATAAAAAGCGGAGAGAAGTCTATGAGCACAGTCTCTGAAAGAGGAAGCTAGAGAACCAAAATGATATAAAACAAAAGGTAACCAAAGATGAGCAAACTTGTCCAGCCAACGACAAAAAATCTCCAGTTATGAATGGCAAACTCAGTTATCTGCAAAGCCTAAAAGAGACTGAGTGATTGATGTGAGATCATGTATTTATCTCCTGTTCGTGCATCTAAGTATGTTCCTTTCATTCTAAAACAAAACACCATGCAAACAATGAATATTGTGTGAAAGTAGAGTTTGATTATAAAATGACCAGACCAGTGGAAAATTACAAACAAAAGTAATACCTACCTACGGACACTTGATTCTTCTGTCTCGAATAACATCCTAAATCGCATGCCAACAGAAACTCGGGTATGATATACAGCTTTGACATACTTGGCTAAGGGAATGACAAATTCTGATGGGCTTGCCCTATTAAGTAAAAAAGAAATTAAACAAGGCTTGAAATGTGAAAGTTAGGATTCAGCAATATTGCAATAGCTACAATCTATATCATTAAATTTGTCAACCTTGGGTTATAGAATATAGTAAAGCGGCTATTCGTTGCAGCCGCGTGAGCTGCAGCAGCAAGAAGACCTATATGCATGCTGTCACTTGACAAAACTGAGGACGGCATAACAGTCGTGTGGACGAATTGCTCGCCGGATTCCCAAGAGTAATTGATTTTTATCATTCCTGGTGCAAAAAACAGGAAGATGGGTTACACTAATATTTATTGATAAGTTTTAAAGCCTCCAATAGAGATACAGAGAAAATTCATCATCATTGATCATTCAAATCGATGAGGACCACAGATTCTGTAAAGAAAGGTTGGTTATTTTGTTATGACAAACTAATGAGATCAATGTATAAAATCTGGTTAAGAAAGCCCTACAGACAGAGGTTCTATTAGAAGGTTAAACTCTTTGACTATTATGACTATTATAAAATCCATTACTTATGCTGACAAAAAATGCATTACTTATAGTCTAAACTTCCCTATTTTTCCTTTATGGCTTCTAAGAATCTACTCAAACAATCACTGCAGATTTGCTGGCAAATTCCAAAGTTTGTAAATGCCAACTGTTGTTTCACTTGTAATCATAAACCTCAAAATGATAGTAAAAACAACAATTACG